AGAGTCTTGTATCCGTTTTAAAGTGCTATCAAATAGTAGGTATTGGGTAGCGACTAGTAGGATTCTCTAGGTTAGGTCTCTATTTTCTAAGGTTCCTTCTACAGAATTTTGGGCGCCACTGAACGTGATCAGGCAGTGAACAATTTGCGGATGATACCAAGTTTGGTATTGCATTCTTAACGGATGACAATAGATAGTGATAGCACTAATATTGCTTGCAGCATCGATTAGGATTTATCCAATGCGGGTGGCATTGGATAATCCCTGATCGTGCACCTGTGTGCCGTGCACGCTTTACACGCCCAAGGTCATTTTACCAAGTCAGGATCTGACGATGGAATCCTAGGAAAACAGAGAGGAAGTTACGAAAATTCTAGGGGCCAGTCATGCGCCTATTATATTTTTTAATAATTATTAGGAAGACCGAGAGGTGTTTTTTTCACGTCGCAATTGCCAGAACGAAAGCTATCAACCTTAACCGTAATCATTTGTCAGGCGCTATATTTACAGTCTTATCCATTTTATCTGAATGTGGTGGTGGGTTGGTTTGTAGTGTTAGCTCCGTAAACGTCGTTGATGTTGCGTATCGCTTGTGTGACTTAATACTAAGATGTGTTCAGTTCAATTTGATAGGAATGAAAATGTAGTTTTTACAAAAAAAATAGATTTTACTAATTTTGCTAAATAGTGAAGTGTTGCTGGTATTATTTGTCAGGCGCTATATTTACATTCTTATCCATTTTTATCTGAATGACAATACATCATACGTGATATTTTGGGGTTTCCGTTGATGTCATAGATGCGGTTGGTGGTATTGTTATATTTATTTCTCATTGGCTGTTTTTAACTCTCAAAAAGAAACCGCCGAAACCGGCATTTGCTCAGATTTCACATCCTCGCGTCCTCCATTCGGGTCTAGTAAGACGATTCGAACGCGATTTAAAGGCTCTATAGTTATAGTTATTGGTACACAGAACTCAGTAAGGACTGCATGTATTATCCATCGGACACGCATACGTTTTAGTATCTAATATAAAACCAACAAAGAAAACATTAAACTAATCCTAACTAATATCCTAATCCTAATCCTATCCTAACTAATATTATAAAAGCGAAAGTAACTCTGTCTGTCTGTCTGTCTGCTACTCTTTCACGCCAAAACTACTGAACGGATTTGAATGAAATTTGGTATACAGATATTCTAGACCCCGAGATAAAACATAGGCTACTTTTTATCGCGAAAAAGGGGTTGTAAGGGGTTAAAAGGGTCGCGGAGAACCTAACGGGTAACCGGGGCTCCGGCTCGACGTGCAGGAGAAGGAACGGGGTGGTTTTTAGTCAGTAAGAGTCTGACACTCCCTTCCGCCTCACCCAGGCGGGAGCAGTCATTCGATGATTTTCCCCACTTAAAAAAAAAGGGGTTAAAGGGGGGGGAGTTGTACGGGATTTCATAATTTTTAAAGATAAACCATGAAACTTTATATTTAAGCACTTGATAAAAAATAATAAAACATTTGTTCTAGCGTTTTTGAAATTTCGACTCACTATGTCGATTTTTAAGAATAATTATTACGATTTATCTGAAAACCTGAAAACGGATATCTGAAAACCTAATGATTTGTAATTGTTATGGCGTCCTACTTTCATAATATATTTTGGTATCAACAAATAAAAATGAAGTTCTGTGGGTTTTCAAGGAATAATATTAGTATTCAGCTGCATCAGGGATCAGGGATTTTAAAGACAAAATACGAATTCAATTGATTGGTAATTTGAGGATTGTCAGGGATTGGGGGGGCTGGGGGAGGGGTGATTGGGCCTCCGGTAACCTCACTTACACAGCGAAACACTCCTTTAGGTAACCGAGGGCTGGGCTCGCTGTCATTGCAGCGGAAAGTCCCCTCTTTAAAAGTGGCTTTAAAGAGGCCATTAATGCAAGAACCGCCCGGAGAACAAGGTGGAGCATACCGTGGCGGTGTACCTTGCATGGGCTGAGCACCGCCGTGTTCTCAGGGATGTAGGAAACGGTGACCTCTCGCGTTCGGCTCTGGTTCAGGCCATGGAGCGAGGGGTATTGGGATGCAGTCGCATCCTTCTGCGAAGTAGTTATGCTTGCCAAGGAGAAAGCGGAGCGCGTGAGGGAATGAACTTCCTCACGCCCCAGCCGTCGCGGGAGACACTCTGGGCGTCGGAGATCGGCCGGCCACCGTAAGTGCGGGTCTGTAGACGAAGAGCAAGGCTAGCTCGCCACCCGACCAGAACCAGTCCCGTGCATACGGCGCGCGCCTTACAGAGCCATGACACCATCATAGACGGAGCCCAGTAGGGCTGATGCTCGATACGGTGCCGCGGGAGGCCTAACGAGTTGACGGGGCTCCGGCTCGACGAGCAGGAGTAGGAACGGAGTGGATTTTAGTCAGTAAGAATCTGTCACTCTCTCTCACCTAACCCAAGGCGGGAGAAGTGATTGGATGATTTTCCGACCTCAAAAAAAATCTCCTTTAGGTAATGACAACCCGATGTGTGAAAAACTACCAAAAAAACTCCTTATATTATTGGTATTGATTACGCTGTGGAAATTATGGACAATAGAGCCAAGGGATGTATTAAGTCTTATAGAGGACATTAATATCAACATTAAAGTACATGTATCATATTATGTAACTAACCTAATATCAGAATACCTATTTTTTCATTTAAATGTTTGCGATAGTAACGCACGTCGCACCGGTACATATCAGGTCACATTATAGGAGAGAGGAAATCCCAAAATGACGGAAACTATGCGCTAAAAAACCAGGACCAAGGACGTTGAAATAAAGAGGGGCTCTTACCTTCTAAACCATTGAACCTATTTAGTGAAATTCGGTACAGCGATAGTTTGAGACCCGGGAAAGGACATCTAAAAGTTTTTAACCCGAAAAACCCACGAAACCGGGAACTGTGCTGCCAAGAATTTGGGGGTAATCTTCGACTCCAATCTTCTATGGGGTGCACAGGTAAATGAGGTCAGTCGAAGAGTCCATTTCTCCTTTCACTCGCTGAAGCGTCTCCGGTCCTTCTTGCCATTTAAAACTAAAATTCTCCTCGTACAATCCTTAATTCAGCCTTTACTCGACTACGCAGATGCTTGCTATTTGGACGTCACTGAGGAGCTACTAAACAAGCTTGAGCGGCTGCAAAACGTTTGTATTCGCTTTGTCTTCGATCTTAAGAAGTACGATCATGTCTCAGTATATCGCAGTAAGCTCAAGTGGCTCCCAATCCGACTTCGCCGGAACACTCGCATTTTATGTCTCCTTTATAATGTCCTTAACAACCCTGCCTATCCTATATATCTCCGTGACCGCTTTTCCTTGGCTCGTCCTCCTGAAGCCCTATCTAGATCCCACCTTAAGTCTCTTCTTGAAATCGTTCAACATAAAACCGATTTCTATTCCTACTCCTTCACGGTTCATGCGGTGAGACATTCGCGACGCCAAATCCATCTCCATTTTCAAACGACTTGTCAGGGATTATTATCTTTCGTCCTGAAGTACAGCTTTATTTATGTATATATTTATCTATGTATACATACAATATACATATATATATATTTTTATGTAATCATATTTAAATATTTCTAATTATTTTATTTATTATGTTTGTTATAATTTGCTTAAGTTTATATTTTATTCTTATACTACGGTCATTCTAGTTTTAAGTTCTTTCATTAATTTTATTTTGTTTTGTATTCGTTGCATGTATTTACACTGTGTCTTATGTCTTATGTTTATATTCCTTTTCCTGTCGCAGGTCTGCAGGAAGAAATCCCTTAAGGGATATGCAGTACCTATGTACCTCATGCTTACCTATAATGTGTTGTGTCTTATAATATTGTCTGTATGGTGTGGGTACATGAAATGATAAATAAATAAATAAATAAATAAATAAATAAATATCTATTTGATTGAAATGCGATACAACATTGATTTGCAAACATTTCTATGTTTATAAGAATAGTGAAACCTCACGAGACGGGCACTGTACGGGCAAAACCTCTATGGGATTGTTTATTTTAGAAACCACGAAAATAAATTCATTTCTCAATAAATATAACCTAGAGGTAGGTACTGAATCGATTGTGATGATATTTGTTCCAGTTGTACAGCCGTAGAATATACCTTGACAAAGACTAATTTAAAAAACCCAATTTAGAAGTCGTTATTTCACGCGGACGAAGTCGCGGGTAACAGCTAGTAACCTTCTATAAAACGACAACTGAAATAAATCACAATCGAATAACAAACTGGGAGATTCGTGTGAGTCATCCGGGGACGTATATGACAGTGAGGGACGTAGAATGACTCGGTTACAGTTTATGAGTATTAACAATACGAAACTTATATCAGTTCTTCCCATCCGTGCATGAGCGGTTGGAGAGGACATGGTTGGAGGTGGATCACTGTGTTGCTCAATTTCTTACTGGCCATCGGCAACTCAAATTGTTCTTATTTAAATCTATTGTTTCACCATGGTGCCAATGCTCGGCAGCGGACCTGTAATACGAGCAGTCCGCCCATCATATACTCTGGGGGTGTGATCTCTGGCAGTATGAACGTAACACTATGTTAAATAATTTAATTGTTTCGTCAGATGTAGCTTATTATACGAACCTTGTGTAATCTAGAACAAATTTCCGTGCGTTTAGGCGCTTTTGCCATACCTATTATTGGAAGCAAGTATAACAGTTCACACGTAGGATCCACTTAGTTTTTAGTCAAATTTCTGTGGTGCTTAGCGACTGGGGTACACCCAGTTGTACAGTGTCTTTTTTGTGTCTTTAGGCTTAATTTATTCTGCCTCCTGCAGTAACTAATTTAGTTTCTTTTTTTGTCTGTTAATTAGTTCGTCAGTTCAGAGCGTATGACAAGGATAAATAATAAGACTTATTTCATTCTTATAATACCCACATAGACAAAAATATAATATTATAATTTTATAAAACACATTTTTAGTATTTACAACAATAATTCAAATATGGCGCATACACAGAGCACAACAATACTGCTTTTGAATAAAAATGCTGAACTGGGTTGTAGACAGTTATCATTTTGTTCAACTGTTCTGAAATACGGTTCATGGAGCTCTTGTCTTTGTTGTATCAGGCATGCGATGACTGCCTCTCCACAAGGTGACATAGTCCTTTCACGACTCAGCTGCCAAGCACGAACTAGAAGAAAATGGTAATAATATAATATTAGTTAGCGATTTGCTAGTTAGCATATACATAGGTTAATTTTTTTGTCGTCAGCTATAATGACTATTATTAGGTACACGGTAGTCATCCTATTTCCTACTTATATTGTAAAAGTAGCCTAAGTTACTCTTTAGTACCTACATCAGCTACCTTCTAATACAAAGTTCCGTCAAAATCGGTCCGGCCATTTTAGAGATTAGCCAAAACAAATAGACAGACAAAAGTTTCAAAAATTGTTATTTTAATGTATGTATCATATGAATATTGGATTATGCATATACTGATGCGAGAGTTTATGAGAATATAATATTAATACTTATATAGTTTATATAGTTACTCTTAAGAAAAAACTACTGGATTTGGATGGAATTAAGTACGATAGATATCTCGGGTTCGAGCGAAACCACTTGTAGAATGGCAGGTAAAAATATGTATGGAGCTATCAATATACTACATAAACAAATAAATATCAAAAAACAATTTTTTTTGCTACATTTACGTCAAAATATCTTTAAACTATATTTACGGACTTTTCAATTTTCGCTATTTTTATTTTAGGTACACGAAGTTTTGCTTCGTGCAGGAATGAACCCGTTACGCGTTGCGCGGCAGCCGGTTGCCTAGATACCGCGCCGCGCTAACGCAACGGTGCAGTCAAGACCATGACTTTTGATCAAAAGCATGTAGGTATTTAGTACTTAACTACATTGTGTACTAGCACTAGCGCAATTTTAATCGCTGCGCGTCTCTTATTGGTTGCAGTGTGATATATTGTAGTCTTCCAAGATAAATAAACGATTCAACACAAAAAGATTATTTTAAATTGATCTAGTATTCTCTAAGATTAGAGCGATTAAATAAACAAACAAACATACTCGTCAGCTGAAGAGCTAGAGAGAGATAAAGCTTTATATATGTATATTAGTACCTATACTAACTACTTCCGCGCGATTTCACCCACTCTTTTTGGCTCTTGTTGATCGTAGCGTGATGATTTATATCCTATAGCCTTTTTCAATAAATGGACTATCCAACATCTTAAGAATTTCTCAAATCGGACCAGTAGATCCAAGAATAGGTGCGTTCAAACAAACAAACAAACTCTTCAGCTATGTATAATAGTATTAGATATAATATAAAATAAGGATAGTATGATAAGTATATAAGTATGTAGATTCTTTTCGAAGAATTATATATTTAAATAGCCTTAAACTGTCAAACACCAAGCGGTCACCGGTGACCGCAACCTATTGTTCTTTAATTGTGTCTATAAACACGGTACTCGACGAGTTAATATACTTATTCAACCAAGTAATAATTCGTATTATGAACTTCTGCGTCTACGATCTTTTTTTCTAATCTTGAAACAAATGAAGTAAAATGTAAAATATTTAAAGTGTACCTATCTCTTTATAATAACCGTGTTAATTAATGTTTCATTTATCCTTTTGAACGCCAGAGCAAAAACACATGAACCTGCCCTCAACGCCAAGCCACAAATTCCGCGCAAATTTCTACGGAAGAAATAGGGATTCCAATAGGGAATCAAATTGTTGATTTCGTGTTTCCGGTTCCGCTTTTTCTGTCATGTATTTGTGTCGTTGGCGTCCAGGGACAGTTTTCACTTGTCACTTATATGTGACATCGGCGCTCAAAAGGTTATTGAGTATTTTATGCACAGACAAATTGTACACTTACTTTGTCGTTGAAAGGGGTTTACGTTGGTGCAACTGTATGCTAATGCGTAACTGGTGTAGTCTGTAGCCAGTATATAGACTATGGTATCAGCACTTTCTGAAATCAAAATAAGTACAAAATTCAAATTGCACATATTTACCAATTATTTTCACGATATTTTGTAGTTTACTCTTAGTAAAGCTATTTTGGTAGGTAGTTCTTTTCAATGGATTTTAGTTAATTATTTTCTAAATTAAATAAATAGAAACGTTACTGTTTTCTACCAAACTCATCCAACAATATCAATATATTATTAATTTATTCACCTGGCCCAACTTTAGAACTATTGCTTACCTTCTGAGCCCGCAACTGGCAAAGTTATAGTTATTTGACCGGAGTTATCAGTTGAATTGATTCTGCCTGTTCCTTCCGTAATCGATAACTCTCCATTGACCACTTCGTATGAAATAATGTTGATACTGTCGGATTCTGGAGTAAATCTCCCACCAACACAAGTGGTTGTTACAGGATCGTATCTTTTAATCTGGTACCAGTTTCCTTGGAACTATAAAAACGAATATCACAATGTTGAGTCAGTGAAGTTAATAAAGTAAAATATGCCGTCGGGCTCGGGATGAAGCACTAATGAGAACTAAAGTCTATTATTCGATAGATTATTTATAATAATATCAAGTCCATGTACGTTTAGTTTCCTACAACTACTAAAAATATGAGACAAAACGATTTCATATTTAATTTTGGATGTACGATGCCAAAGAGTGGTGAAAAGCTCTTGCGACATTTGTATGAGTAAAAGAACAACCAGAGCCACCTTAAAAGTACCTATATTTACTAAGGTGTGACCTACCGAGCTTCCACTTCTAAACTTTGAATAGGTACCTATATTATTTATTTATTCATAAACCAATTAACATTTGTGTCGAATACGGTTTTGACAACGGAACAAAAATTAAAAAAACAATAATCACATAAAAATCAATAAAGGCAAATAAAAACAATACAATTCAATTAATATAAAACACAATCAAATATACAAAAATTAAACACTTCATTTAACTTACCTAGTAATTTCAACCACTATCCGAGAAATTTAATTAGATGTTAACAAATTATTAATATGTAATGTATTATGATGGAATGTCAGATTGGAATACTAAATATAAAATAACTCACTAGTATAATCTCAATTTTAGTTTGAACTATAACATTTCCTCAAAACAATGTCTTTAATTTTCTCTTAAATTCATTTAGATTAGTGGAGTTTTTAAATTGTACAGGCAGTTTATTGTAGATATTTACTGATTGCACTCCTGAAGCATTTTTACGAAATTAAGTTTAGGCTGTATGGAATTCGATAGGTTCTTTCTTGGAGTATTTACTCTATATATATCTCTGTTTCTTCGTTTTTAACTACACTATAAAGGCTTGGTAGTGTATGAATTTGCAGATTTTTAAAATGATTTCTGCAAGACTCGGTTTGTTCTATGCGAAGCATCTTTTCTCTCTCTTCCGCAAAACGAAAGCAGCATTTAATGTTATATTGGTAACTGTTATCCCAGAACTTTATGCTATATCTAAGTCTACACTATAAGTGCAAGATAAACTGGTCTGAGGTGAGAAATAGTAAGTTCATTCCTTACTTCTAAGAGCATAACAAGTACCACTCATAGTGTTTGAGACCACTTCCAATTTCCTCTTCCCATTTAAAAATCTATCTGTACCCCAAAATTTTACCTACATTGTCTACAATATCTACCTGATACCTTAATAGATGTACTTTGACGGTATCCTTGTTCTTTACAGTTGATTTGAATAATACACATTGCGTCTTTTTTAAATTTAATTTCAGATTATTCACAGTGAACGACTTTTTAAGAGCACATAAGATAAAGTTATTTTTTTTTATAAATGTTGTATATTCTCACTAGCTATAACAGCGCTTGTGTATAGCTCGTAATGTCAGTCAAGTGACAATACAAAACCGACTTCAAATACCATAAACTAAAAAACAAAAATATATTATTATTCTTTATACTCAGTATATACCCACAGCATCGACTGAAAATCGCTTACCACCAGGCGAGATAGTGATATAGTGATAGGTGGCGAGATGAATGTCCATCCATCAAATATAAAAATATATTAAAGAGCCGGTGCCACAAGTCCTGAATAGTACCGCTAAGTAACAATTTGGCAGCTATTTCGCGTCTCAGTATAATCGATGTACAAACAAAAAAAATATATACCAGCCTTCTCCATTTGGAGAAGTCGATTTATTTTTTTCTTCAATAAAATCGTTGCCCCAAACTAGAATTTTCTCCTGTGTCGTAGGCGCGTTTACAAAGATACAAGTTCACATACACATTACACCTAGACCCAAAACAACAATTTGTGGATCACACAAAGAGTTGCTCCGTGCGGGAATCGAACCCGCTACACGTTTCGCGCCAGCCGGTTACCCAGCTACCGCACCAACCGTGCAGTCATATGATATACAGAAAATAAAGCTTTAGAGATGGTAGTTGTGCAAGCGCACTACTAATTATAAATATTAATACTCAATCTTACCTGATTCTCATCGAAATGTGGAATTCCAGAAATGGTCTGGTCACACTGGCCAGGTATGATAATATCATCATTTAAAGCAATGTTGGGATATTGGAAACACGTTTCAACACTTTGTTCCGTGGTTTGGTAATAGTCTTCATGGAGACCTTGAGTTCTGCTAACCACTGCATCAATAGCAGCATTGTCTTGAGCACTCAGTGTTCCGGTTCTACTTAGTTTCCAGCTGCCAACTGGAATTAAATGGTTTGAGAGTGAAACTTTAATAATTTAATTGTTATCAGAGATGTTAATAACTAATATACAACGTTTACCCACCTCGTCGTTTGTTTCCGTTGTCTACATTGACGCAGCTGTAGACAAGTGCATAACTAAGGTAGTCCGTTGACAATACGTAGTAGTTAGATCGCCTGATCTCTGCAAAAACGTATATAATGTATTCTTTTTGTCTAAAAGGTAAGATAAAATACGATAAATCTATTTTGGTATAATTGCAATAAAACATTGTACTTATCATATCACTTGGTAAGCTAAAACAACTGCATTTTACATAGTTTTGTTTTTGTTGGCGCATATGTCCGAAAGTTAGTCGATTTTGGTAAAATCAAACTCTTTCGGTTATTGGGTTCCCTTTCTGAAACTGAACAAAACCTTGAATATCAATTTGCGCTTGATAACGTATTTACGATAAGCGCCTATGTCATGCAAAACGTGAGCAGAAACGTTTACCAAATTTACGTGAATTCATTCGCAATGGATAACGTTAGATATTTTATTTCCGAACACTCGCATCAATTTTCTGCTTGTATTGGTACTGGTATTGGGACTCTTTACCAAAAATAACTAACCAGAATTAATGTTCTTGCTCGCAACAGTCTTGGATCTCCTTATGAAATAATCAGAAGATAGCTATAATAAATATCGTAAGACCTACCTATACACTCGGCTACACAATCGGCTTACTTACCGTTATTGACATTAAAAGAAACTTTGAACTCCCCAGTTCCATCATCGCGTGCGACAACGGCTGTTCCTTCTATCGTGGTCATTTCTCCGTTTATAATTTGGCTGTTCATCACAGAAACGACGCCTCCAGCAATTGGGGTATAACTAGCACGGTTACACTGTCCAGCCTGCGTCGGCTGTGGGTATCTAGCAGCTTCAATCCACGTGCCTTTAAACTAGAAATAAAATGAAATATTATGTATGTACATTATGTTTAGACACCACTGACAAATGATGAAGGAAAACATCTTGAGGAAACCTGGGCTTATAATTTCTAATTAAAAGTTTGAAATCGCCTACCTGCATTGAGCAGGCATGGGAATTAATGCTCACTTCACACACAAGCAAACCTTAATAATATCCGGATTTATTATATGGACTGTAACATATAATGGAATCCGTTTATTATGAGTCCGCCTATATTGACCAACTACGGAGGTTGGTTTTCATGTAAAAAACCTTAACAAACGAGTCCGATATAATGACTTCCCTTACAGTGACATGTCGCTTATTATAACCCATCAATCAATTCATACATACATACCTATAATAAAATTGTCAAAGGTTGTTTAATTGTAAAAGGTTGGTGTCTGTACATGGAAGATAAATAAGATAAACTTTATTATGGAAACTTTATATGCGCAATAAAACCCAAAACGATGATTTTTAGAATTTTTGTCTGTTTATCTGTACGTTTGTTCGGGCTAATCACAGAAACTGCTTTTTCACTATTATGTTGCAGTTTGCTGGGATTAACATTTAGTCTTTGTTTTGTTTAAATCGGTTCATAAATAAAAAAGTTTTGTCAATCTAAAGAATTCCATTAGCACATCAATCAGTCAAATCATTAAAACTCAAATGCTACAATATTGTATTTATCCTTATCGTAATAAATAATTTTATATTCAAGTCTGTTTTAACATCTACGAATTTCTTTATGAATTACTCAAATTGGACATTTCATTTAAAAGATATTAAACTCAAAGCGCAACGGTATAAATTTCTTCGGAGTTTCCGTTTAATTTCGCTAGATGGCGTTGAACCGAATTGTCACAATTCTAAATCCTGGTTTTAAGATTTTCGTGAAAATAATAATGACCCTCCCAGGCAGCTTTCCTTTATGCCGGTTCTATTCCTGATGTTAAAAGTGTTTGGTTGTGATGTCGTTTAGTCAAAAACAAAAGTGGCCTTTTAAAAGTAGTCTGTTAAATATTGCAATTATTAATTACGAGATTTTACTGCAGTGTTTTGGTTAGTTTTTATCTGGTCAATATTGTCCAGTCTTTTTTTTAAACACTTGGAAAAATAACAAGGGTCATATATTAAGTCATACACTGGTTATAAAGAAAGCAGGTCCAGGTGACCGCTAGTCTCCAAAGCCAGTTCATATTGCTCCTCCTTTTCATTAGTGAGCTCAACAGTTGACCTTTGCAGTTACATTTGTGCACAAAGGTACTCATTCAACGGGTTTTTCTGTTGGAAATCCGCAAGTAGAGAGCGGGGTCCAGCAACCTTGCGATTTTCAGTGCAGATGAATTTGCTTTTTTGGTGTCGAAACTGCCTTTCATTAACAACGTCTCAGCAACTATCGGTGGAGGGGTTCATAACCCATAGGAGGTGGATTTGTATATAAATATAAGAAGCTTTTTAAAATTTTAGTGTAAAGCTACATAGACCTATTTTCCTACTTATAATCCACATAGGTGCAAAGTTCTAATCAATACAAATTATACAAATCCAAACACAATGTACTTAAGTGAAATGACGATAAATTAAAAATTTCATGCAGCCGCCATCTTGGATTTAGATTCTGACAGCGCCATCATTTTCACCACCCTCAAAAACCATGAAAACGATACCCATGACGATAAATTGAAAATTTCGGGTACCGGCCATCTTGGAGTGGAATTTTGACAACACCATCATTTTAATCACCCTCGAAAACCATGTAAATGATACCCATGAAAAAAATTGAAAATTTCAGGCAGTGGCCATCTTGGATTTACATTTTGACAACTTTCGTTTTCACCACCCTCGAAAAACATGAAAACGACTTCCATGACGATAAATGTACCAAATATTTATAAAGGAAGACCGACGCATAATCACATCCGCAACCGTTCAGGGATTTACGAACAGTCAGACATGTAACAAATCCACTCGTGATGCAAGCCACACAACCTGCTGCTTGCCAATATTACAGGAAAACAATAAATCGATTTGAATATAGAACCCCACTCGGGGTGACACTCTCGTCGCCGCACGTAAATACCTCACGACCATAGACAAATATCGCTTTTTAAGAAATCCGCGAAAATTAACCTCATGGGAACCGCCAATCAGGTGTGCGCGAACAGAATAAAAATGGCCGATTTTTACATGATTCTCCAGTAAAACTGACGAGAGACGTGGCCGGTCTGCTGCATCGTTGCCGCTTGAATACAAAATACATTATAAGTGCACAATATTTGCATTTTGAATTACGCGCTTGAGGCTTGGCGCCTTAAAACTGTATGTTGCGTGGAGGCGGCAACGCCATTGGCTGGGTTCGGAATAAGCTTGGAAAAGGTGCACTTCGAAATTGCAGCGGCTGACTCGGCCAATTTAAATATAAACTGGATAATGCCCACCTAACAGATCAGGTGTTGCTATTTAGGAAAAACCAAGGTTCGATCCGGTATGTTAACTTGGCCATCAATATTTACTAGGGAAACAAAAACTAAGTTATACCTCAAATTGCGTAGACTTTTTGTATACAAGCAATGTCTGCATTGGATTCGTAGATTTTACGTGGTGCGCGCACAAACAATTAGACAAACAGATAACAATTTCAAAAATGATAGAAATGGGCCCTGTTTGTTATCTTTTAACACGCTGCCTATTTTTTTTGTCAATTTCTTCAATGTACAAAAATTACTTTTCCACAGATTTATTATATGTATAGATAGAAGATAAGTTACTTACAGCGGAGACGTTGAAGTTCGGAATACCTCTGATGCTGGTATCGCAGGGGCCAGGCAGTTCGATGTATTGCTGTGGTTCATCAAACTTTGGATAGTAGAAGCACGATGCAGAACTTTGACTTGTGGGTAGGTAATACTCTTTAAGTAGACCTTGTGTTTGGTTTATGACTTGATCAATTGCATTATTGGCCGTTGTTCTCAGAGTCCCTGTTCTACTCAGCACCCAACTACCGACTACAAACAGGTAATGCATATGTAGATGTTTCATCCCAGGAAACGAATTTATAAATAGTAGATAAGTTGTCTTTAGGATTACCTCGTCGATTTCCGTTTCCTACAGTCGAGCAGCTGTACACGAGAGCATATTCGTCATATTTAACTGCAAGAACGTAATAGTCTGATGCTCTATTTACTGAAATACAACAATTTTATTGTTTAAAAATGTAAAATAAAGGACAGTGCGAACTAAATGTACTAAAACCTTACGGATTACCTAGTTGTTTTTTTAAAACTTCAAAATTTATTCATTTTTACCATAAATCTCACTAAGGTACTATACTAAATCGATTCTGATGATATTTGTTACAGCCGTAGAATATACCTTAAAAATGACCGATTTAAAAATGTGTCTATTATGATGTATTTCACACATTTGCGGTCTAAGTTAGAAGTTTAACCCTTTGAGTACCGTCATTATAGACACAATTAAAGAACAATAGGTTGCGGTCACCGGTGTCCTCGCGGTGTTTGACAGTTGAAGAAATAGTACAGTACCATCAAATTCTTACCAAGAAACGGAATATTAGGTTTTTTTTTGTAAAATCTGTGACATACCGAACAAAAGTTAGGATGTTAGAATAACTTGGGTGGGTTAGATTATTAGAACTGTGACACATAACGTGCTAACGTGCACAACGCGAAGATAGTGTGGCGCGGTAGCGGCCGCTGAACGGCATCAAATTTTTTTGTACAATCCTAAGCATTTCAGGGGCCTAAAAGGTAACATTGTATGTGTCAGATGTGAATCATAATGTGTCATTTGTCATGTTATAAAAAGACAATATTTTGAGGTTTTTCGGGCCCTGAGGCCTTATTAAAGTAATCGAAACGGGTACGCATTCGGCGCTCTAATTGGCCGGCACCAATGGAGCAACCAATTATAGCACCGAACGCGTACTCGTTACGATTACTTTAAACATAAAAAAAACTGGTACTAAGGCCTCAGGTAGTTTATGTGTGCATTGAGGTTAGAATGTAAAAACTCTTCGCTCGGTAATGGAAACTGGGAATACATATTTTAAATGCATAATAATAATAATGCAGTAATAAATGGTTGAGGGGTGGAAATAGGTGTTACCTAATTGTCTCAACAAGTGCCTTAATAAAAAATATTATTCTCTTTACTAAGTGTTTTATTACAGAAATCAAGGTTTTTATTTATTACGCAAATAGTTTCCGTTTTTAGTTATTTATTCACATTTTCTATATATTTCCAGTTACGTAAACATTTACTATAGCAATATTTTTTAAATTTGTTATACTTATGTAGGAACTGAGTTTTAAAACAAACTGTTATTGTATTTATTTACTACCTAACCCGGCAAACTTCGTACCGCTTAGTATGTTTCCTCACCTTTAAACCTTTCCTGGAATTTCACGAACAGGTCAATACCAACAGAATTAGCAAAATCGGTTCAGTTCCCGCATTTTAGCGGGACTAATGAACGGAAATACATTTTTATTTATATTGATTTATTAAGAGTAGACCTTGTAGACCTACTTTATACTGAAATAATTGTTTTTTAAACTATTTAAAAACCAGACTTCAAACCCTCCTTTTATGAAGTCACTTAATTAAATTATTGTAACACCTTCTCCTAAGTGTATATACATACATGCACACTTATACAGTAGATACATACAGAGCAAACTGACAAAATCTTTTTTGAAGTCGGTTAAAAATAAGCATTTATCATCAAGTGCATTCATTAAAAATTTGGAATGACTTACCATTACTAAAAGTAACTTCCAACTTTCCTGTTCCATCATTGCTGGCAACAACAGCTTCTCCTGATATCGTTGCTAGTCCTTCATTAACAACTTGACTATTCAATACGGAGACGGCGCCACTAGTAAGTAACTCGTATTTAGCACGGTTACACTGTCCACTTTGTGTTGGCTGCGGGTATCTAGAGACTTCTATCCATTCACCCTCGTACTGGCAGAGAATAAAATTTTACAATCACGTGAAGTGTTTATGTAGGTATAGAATATTTTCTTTGGATTATTTTCTAAATATTCATTTTTGATACTTAAACGATACACAACGAGTATGTGTTTTTTCTTACGTTACTTAATACAGTAATTTATTAAAAACAAGATATTCACTTTTTCCGCATCGAAATCCGCAACTCCTTTAATTCTGGTGTCACAAACTCCAGTCAGCTCGACGTATTCCCATGTTGGATCAAACTCTGGATAATAGAAACAATCGTCTGGTTCTTGACGTGTGGGCTGATAGTATTCTTTATGGAGACCTTGGGTCCTGCTTACGACTGCATCAATGTTAGATTGGTCCTCAGAGCTCAGTGTTCCTGTTTTGCTAAGCACCCAACTGCCGACTAAAGAAAGGAAAGCATAAGTAGGTAGGTAACTTTTTTATAAAACAAAAAATATATATTAGTAAGTAAATAGTCTCTGAAATTACCTCGTCTGTTTCCATTTTGTAAAGTATCGCACGTGTATACAAGAGCATAACTTTCGTAGTTGGTAGCAAGGACGTAATAATCTGACCGTCTATCCTCTGAAATAATTAATTTGGCATTATTTACAATTTGTTTATATTCAGAAACGTTGTATCTATCTAAAATATGATTTCATTGAGTCGTGAAAACTGGCGGCTTGTAAACTTTTTTCTTCCTTTCATTGATGATGGAATTGAAAGATGATGGATGTTGAATTGTTGGATTTAACTTTAGATTGCCTATTAATAAAAGTATATAACAGTCAGGTTGGACTCTTTAGATTTGTCCATTTCTTTTGACGAAGTGGATATACAATATTCTATTCAATAGTCTATTCTCCAAATTTTTGTTTTTTTTTTTAAAAGTTCGTTTAATATCTGATTATCTAGTATAATTTTTATTTAAGCAAAATATGACCGCTTCATGCTGAATAAATAAATATAAAAAGTTTGTTGTGTTTGGCGCATATAGCGCCAAAACACGAACCGCCATTTTAGTGACATCGAAAATATTGAAACGTCAAGCCATAGATTTTGTAAACAAGTTGGTTGCGTTGTGATTTTGTTGTATTTATAAAAAAATATGAGTTTCAATAACCTGTATGGTGTGTTGCGTTAAATTGCAAGAATTGTACATTAAATTTTATTTATTAAACACAAAAATATAAAAATAAAGATAATAAAACTTTGATTTTAACTTTGAAATTTAAAATTAATGCTATGATTTTATGGAATAATAACATGTTTTTTTAATTCCTCACGTTTTTAAGTATACAAATAACATAATGTTAAAATGTATTGTTGATAGATGAGAATATCCTATTGTATGCATCTATTTAGTTTTCAGTGCTAAATTTAGGTATTTGTTTTAAGTTTTATTTACATCCTTAACTTATGAATGCTACCATTTTTTTTAAATAACTTTTACTCTTCTGGTTCGTTGTATATGTTTTGTTCTAGTTTTATTGTTTGATCGTTTATTTTATTAATGTGTCCAGTTACTTTAATTGGTTTTTGTTCTCAACCGTTGTGACTGTAATAAATAAATAAATAAATAAATAAATCCTATTTACTTTAGAGACCAATATTTACGTAAAAGAGGAATAAAAAATATGTGTAAATAAATTTTACATATCTATCCATCTTATATATCTATCTATACATATAATAAATTCGTAAGGGGTGTTACTATTGATAGACACGGAACTCAAAATGGTGATTAAAATATTTTTTGTCTGTATGTTCACGCATCACGATTACGATGAAGCTTGGTATGATTATACTTTAGTAACCTGGATACCACACTGAGTAGGCACTTTACCCCGAAAAATATATACAAGAAAAACTTAATTTTGCGGCTCAATCCTTAGACACAGTTACTGTACCAAACGCAAATATAATTTTGTCGAATGTTAGTTTGCCTGCAGACTTTATCTACGCTGTAACAGTATGACCGATGGTTGAAATTAGCTTGAACCGCTATTATAGATGTCAAAATGTGTGAGTTTGCGTGTACCTATGTTTGTTACTCAGTCACATCAAGACGGCTTAAGGAACCGGGATGAAATTTAGAACAGAGGTAGATTATGGTTTGGAATAATACATACGCTACATTTAACCCTTGATAACGCGGGCGAAGCCGCTGGCAGAGGCTAGTACATAATAATATCAATTTTACCAAGTGACTCCTAAATGTTTTCAGAGTTCTAATTTTCTTATTCTTGAAGAGTTCTATTACTTAGCTCCAAACCAAATACATTCAACAGATTCCAATACAGAAACCGGAGGTACTCGGTGGCTTTTTTAAAATTACGGCACTGACATACGCTCAATGTAAACGTCTCGTGAGGAAACTTGACTTACAATTTTAAATTATAAGTTTGTAATTTTTTTGGCAATTCGTCTTGACCTCGAGATCGTTATAGGTATATATCGTATATGTATCGTATGTTCATCTAGGGTGTTATGTGTAGGTTCATGAATTTGTATATTTGTAACATATCTACGACACACGAAAAAGAAACGATAAATATTTACAATCACACAAACCGTTGAAATAACTAACTAGTCAAACGGATTCAAAAAAAGGAGAGTGGTTATATTTGTCTATTACTTTCTAAAGTTTACTACCTATGATACGGATTGTACCTATTTAATGTAAAACAATGTAGTTATTTAAAACAATTAAATTGCTTACCGCCATTAACATTGAACGTAACTTGCAGCTTTCCAGTTCCATCTGTGCTGGCAAGAACTGCTTGTCCTGATATCGTTGCAAGTCTTTCGTTCACAACTTGACGGTTTGTTACTGAGACGGTGTCATCAGGAAGTAACTCGTATTTAGCACGGTTACACTGACCAGTTTGTGTTGGCTGTGGGTATCTAGCGAGTTCTATCCACTCCCCCGTGTACTGCAATAGAATGAAATATTACAATCACGCGAAATACCTATGTACTTATACTGTATAATATTTTCTTTGGATTTTCCAAATGCGAATTTTTGATGATTAATAAACATCGAGTATTCAATAATGTGTATGTTCTTACGGAGTAATGTAATTAAAAAGAAAATATTTACTCTCTGCAAATCGAATTGCTCCTTTCCTTTGATTCTATTGTCACAAACTCCAGGAAGCTCGACGTATTCCCATGTTTCATCAAAATCGGGGTAGTAATAACAGTCGTCTGGTTTCTGGTTTGTGGGCTGGTAGTTATTTTCATCTAGACCTTCAAAATTGTACAACTCAAAGATTTTACTAATCTCTTCACGGTTCTCTGGGCTCAGTTGTCCTGTTCTGCTAAGCTGCCAACTACTGACTAAATTTAAAGATAGCGTAAGTAGATGTTTCGTCGCAAGTAACAAAGCATAAATAGTAGACAACTTGTATTTGGTATTACCTCGTCGTAATCCAGGTTCTACATTTTCGCAGCTGTATACAAGAGCATATTCATTATAGTTGGTCGCAAGGACGTAATAGTCCACGGTGTTATCTGAAACAATTGTTGTTTGTAGTACTTGTATGTATGTACATACCTAACAATACATTGATATACAGATTATATAGAAAGTTTTGTATATACATATTATATTATTTAGGATCTTTTAAAATAAAGTCATGTTAGTTACGCTATTTATAACTCAAGAACAGTTAAATCGATTTGACTGAAAATTGATGGGGAGGGAGTGAGATATACCTTTTATTATCAAGAGATTTCCCAGAAATCCTACGGAAACGGGAACAACCGGGATTGGGATTACGAAGTTGTGGGTGAAGCTAGTTTATATATATTCTTAGGATAGAAATGCATATTATATCAAAATCAGCCGTTTTTTATATCAGTTTCCTAAGTTAAAAAAAATTACATGCCATTAGGATTTTCTCATGTATGGTGGGGCGTTTACAAACATACAATTTCATAATTACCTCTATACACAATTATGACACCCATAAACGAAACAACAATCAGTGGAGAACACACAGAGTTCTTCCATGCGTGAATCACGTTGCGCGGCAGCCGCTGGTTGCCCAGCCACCACACCAACCGTGTCAATTATTTCGTCTTATTGATACAAAAAAACTTCGTCATAATTTAGGAATTATTCAAAATTTAAAAAAAGTTTATTTGTAAAAAGGGAAGTTTTTAAAAAGTAATGCCTTACTGTTGATAGTAACTTGCAATTTTCCGGTTCCATCGTTGCTAACAACAGCCTGTCCTGATATAGTTTGCAGTTTTCCGTCAGTAACTTGGCGATTTGTTACTGAGATAACGCCATCAGGAAGTACCCCAGCAGTGTATACAGCACGGTTACACTGACCAGTCTGTGCTATCTGTGAGTATCTAGCGACTTCTATCCATTCTCCCAAATACTGGAATGAATTAAATATTATAATAAAGAAGATCCTGATGATTGCTTGACACTATTTGGGGTTTACTGCAACACCAAACCTTGCCAATCGGCAGTTGATAGCAGACAAATCATCATTGATTTTTGAGATGGCATCCGGTAAGTTGTTAAAGCCAGCTTAATAGTACAGCTGCAAATCGTCAGCACACAGATGATGATACACACATTGACGATCAGAGGTGATGAGATTAATAAAGATAGAAAATACGAAAGGTAATTTGAGAAATATCACCATCCTTGACAACTTGCTGTTCCGCCGTCGCGCTGTTTGAGGCAACATCTCGTTCGTTCGCCTCCGCAGTTTACTTGTTTTAAAAGTGGTTAAAAGTTAGTGATAACGCTCTTAACTTATCAACTTGTGTAACTTATACCGTACTCTGTTGAACTTAAGTGTTTTGACTTTAATTTACGCACTATTAGTGAAGTTATAAGCAAATTAGTTTTAAAATTGTTTGTAACCGCCATAAGACAGACGCCTACGCGAGCTGCTCGCGCCGCTCGCTGTTGCTGTCCCTTTCGCACAGATACTCGCTCGTTCTCGCACCGCTCGCTGCTGCTGTCCCTCTCGCACGGATACTCGCTCGTTCTCGCACAACTGCTAGCGAGCAACATTTTATAAACATTCCGCTTGCTGTTATCGCCTACTGATAAACGCTTATTCCTCGCTTGCAAATTGATCTGCTTACACCAAATATGCATTGCTCTGCATGCTATAATGTTATTATTAATGATGACGAGGGAGTTCTCCGTTGCTCACGTGAGAACTGTGGTAAACTATATCACCCAATGTGCACAGGCATTAGAAACTTAATGAATGTTGATATTGATACGTGGATCTGCCCAGAGTGTCGTTGCGCTATAAAAAAAGGTGGAGACAATTCTTTTACACCGGTGGGCGTAAAACAAGATCCTAACGTAACACTTCGGAAGAATGTCTCAACTAACTCCACGAGTAACTATGTTGACAACATTGCATTAATATCGGAGATACATGATCTACGCTCGGAGATGTCTACTCTTAAAGAATTGCTCACAAAGGCATTGACCTTAATCGGCGGCCACGAAGATAAGTTAGAAAGGTATGCTTTGCAAGTAAAACAATTAAATAACAAGCTTGAAAAGTATGAGAAGCAAGATATCCAGACTACGCCTCTGCGAGCTGTGCACGAACCTCGCGCGAATTCGCTGAGCAACACGGATGTAGCTATCAAACCAACTGCAGTAAAACAGCAGCCTAAACAACAGGTGATAGGAAATTCTCAAAGCTACCACCAGGCTTCCCGACATCTCCATACTGATCACATAATACCACCAACTCAAGAACTGGATCAGTCCGTTATTGCTGTCGTTAGACAAGAACACAATACTCAAAATGACGGGGAATGGATTGAGGTAAAAAAGCGCAACTATAGGCAACGTCAAAAACCATTACATGGAACTGCTGATCCTCTGTCAATCAATTTAAAGGCTATGGAAATACGCAAACACTTCCACCTGTGGAATATGGCTTCCGACATCGATGAAGTTCGTCAATACCTTTCTCAGCTATATCCTACTGCTGGCTGCTCCGTTGAAGAGTTAAGTGCTCGTGGGGATTACAAATCATACAAAATTGGAGTTCCCGCTGAATTTTACGATAGGATTTACTCTGCCGACATCTGGCCACTGAATGCTAGGATAAAACCCTGGATTAACTATAGAAAGAGCACTTCCAAAATAAATGAACTACAGAATCTGTCACCTGGTCAGCCCTTTCGTAAGCCAACTTCGACAAAACCACAATAGTAAAACTGTTAAACATAATAAATATATATTACATACGTGCTACCAAAACGTCCGAGGTCTGAAAACGAAGCTAGCAATGTGGCGCAACAACCTATCCATGTTAGAGCAAAACATCGTCGCTGCTACTGAAACCTTCCTGGACTCTTCAGTCTTAGATTCGGAGCTCGAAAGTGGTGACTGGCGCGTTCTGCGCCGAGACAGAGATACGCCTTGTGGAGGCGTCCTCCTAGCGGCGCGAACTCCTCTCGTACTTCGCAGGAGGTGCGAGTATGAAACTGAAAGCGGCGAAGATTTGTGGGCGTCCTTTGTGTGGCATGGTCTCTCATTCCTAGTGTGTGTAGTGTATATCAAACCAAGTGCTAGTGATGAAGACTATATGAACTGGTTTTGCAAAACCGAAAGTTTCGTCAATAATTTTAAGGGTTTCGTTATTATAATGGGTGATCTCAATTTGAATAGCGCATCAAATAATATAGTTAATTACTACTGCTACTTTTTGTCGTTTTGTTGTTTAGTTGATAAAAATGATATCTTAAATGTCCATGGTGGCAAATTGGATGTTGTACTAGTCGGGGAAGGTTTTCACGAGGTGTCTGTATCTGATGTTGATGGTATTGTTCAGCCGGATGCTTATCACCCTCCGCTGGACGTTGAGGTAAGAATTGAATCAGTTCATTGTTCTAATGTAATGGATCCAAGCAACATTAACCCGCGAAAGATTGGAATTTTTATAAATGTAATCGCGACCAGCTTTATTCGCTATTGTCAGAGACATCTTGGGATCCTGTATTCCAGGCCCATACCGTTGCGGGTGCGGTGAATGCCTTTTATCAGATTGTCTAGACACTTTCGATACCTGCATGCCCAAGAAGCATCGTTCTGGAAAATAACTAGGCGATACCCGTATGGTTTACGTCGGAAATAACTAAAAGATATCAAACGAAAGCACACACTGCACGCTATTTGGAAGCGTAAACGCCAGGAAGACTATAGGACTTTTTCGGAAAACTTGCTTAAACATCGCGTTGCTTCTGCATATCAATCAATATTAGAACGGTCGAAAGTAACATAAGAGTCAACCGCGTGAATTTGGCGAATATATGCAGTTTAAGATCTAAGGGTGGGTTCGAGCCTTCGGTGAGCTATTGTGGTGACAGTTACAGTGGTACTGCAGCCGCGCAGGCTTTCGCCAGGTTTTTTGCCAGCGTGTTTCTGCCAGATATACCACTATTAGACGCCACCAATACCAACAACGCCGACGTTACAAAAAACAGTAATTATATCAACATTCTTCGGTTTTCTCGTAAGGATGTGTTAGATGGGTTGAATAAACTAAAAGTCGGTAATTCTGTAGGTCCGGATGGTATACCAGCCACGATTCTTAAAAATCTTAAGGACTCATTTGTCTCTCCACTTTGCCATATATTTAACTTATCACTAAAAACTGGTTGTTATCCTCTTCAATGGAAAGTGTCACGTGTAACCCCAATACCTAAAACGTCTAACAAAACAGCTGTAGAGGAATACCGGCCAATTGCTATTCTATCATCATCCGCTAAAGTTTTCGAAAATGTGCTCCATAAACTTATATACGCACAAGTTGAGAAATACTTAAGTAATGCTCAACATGGTTTTAGACGTAGGAGATCTGTCGAATCTAACTTATTAACTTTAACGGAGTATATCTCATCACAACTTGACAGAGGGCAGCAGGTGGACGTCCTATATTTTGACTTTCGGAAGGCATTTGACCGCATCAACAATGATATCTTGCTCGCGAAACTTAACTCCATAGGTGTATGCCCTAACCTTCTGCGTCTATTGGCCGATTACCTTCGTGACCGCCAGCAGTACGTGAGGTTGGGCATTTACGAGTCCAACACGTACCACACTCGTTCAGGCGTAAGTCAGGGCTCAATTCTCGGTCCTTTGCTGTTTCTTTTAATGATCAATGATCTCCCGGAGGTTCCTCAACATGCAGAATGTCTTTTGTATGCTGATGACCTAAAACTCTACGCTTGTGTCAACAGTATATCGGACTGTGAGGCTATTCAAAGGGACATCGACCTGGTGAATGATTGGGGAAATGCAAATAAAATGGAATTCAATCCCTCTAAGTGCTATGTCATGACTTTTGGTCGAAAGCGACACCCCATTACCTTCGACTATAAAATAAACGGCTCTTCTATATCTAGATCGTCAACTATGAGAGACCTGGGCGTCGTATTTGACCAGAAGCTGACATTTCACGATCATATTGCAACGGTTGCTAAGGAATCGTTTAAGAGACTTGGTTTCGTTCTGAGAAACTCACGAGATTTCAAGAATACGCACGTCATAAGACTCCTTTACAGCACGCTGGTCAGGAGCAAGTTGGAGGCGAGCTCCTGCATTTGGAATCCACACGAGGCCTCCTATTCTCTACTGCTTGAAAAAGTTCAGAAGAAATTCTTAAGATTCCTTTACAAATCCTCTCTAGGCTACTATCCATACATGTACCCAACAAAATACTTGTGTGGATGTCTGGGATACAATATGCTGGAGACCAGAAGAGCGTTTGGACAACTGTACATTATGCTTAAAATCTGCAGAGGTATCATAGATGCTCCTGACCTTCATAATGAACTGTTGCGATTACATGCTCCGACTAACTACCTCCGTGCTCGTCGGCACCGCCCACTGTCTGTGCCCGCATGCCGCACAGTGGCCCGTGCATCGTCCCCTATTCCCCGCGTCTTGTCCGCGCTCAATGGCCTCTTGGAAACCTACCCTGACTGTGAGCTATTTATTAATGACTTTAAAACTGTTCAGCGTTTATGTTTAAGTTTTTGTGAAAATGTTTAATACTGTTACCTCTATTACTGTTTATTGTTTTTTAATTTATATTTTATTATTGTGATGTGCTTTATTTATTTTATTTTTTTTTTCTTTTATATCTTTATTTTGTCATGTGATTTGTAGCCACATACGATGTTTGTTTTGATATCTGTATATGTTAATGTAACTGGTGTAAACCGTATTAACATAAATAAATAAATAAATAAATAAATTGACCGACTGCTGACGCTCCTAAGAAGACAATCATTACATTGATTTGCCAGAGGTAAGTTGGTTAGGATGGCTAGTACTTTTCAATTTAGTTTCAATGTTCTGAAGCCGGATTGATACATCCTTTGAGCACTTTAGACAGGAGGATAGATATTAGACGGAATTAGGAGGGAAGGAAAGAGTGGAAGTAGAGACTTTTTGGAGTGAATGGACAAAGGCTCTACGCCAAAAGGAAGGAAATGTTCCGAAACAAAGGGAGAAATTTATGACATGGCTAATTTATAGCTGGTACGATTTGATAAATCAGTGACGATTGTCACTTTGATATGTCAGTGACGATCGTACCAGCTAGGATAGGACTGATGTTGCGTTTTACCCAATACCTACAGTTTCGAAGAATTTCCAGATATCGGCAGAAGAAGAAAACCTGAAAGTAATTAACGCTACACACATTCTGCTTACTGTTTCTTGCAATAACTAAAAACCAAAAGATTTTATGACTTGAGGTTTATAAAGTAATGAAATAAACATTTTTTGAATATAAAAAAATATTGAACATACCATAACGTCCCTTTTATCCCAACAACAGGGTGCATATTACAGCACTCAATGCCACTGTACAATGTAACACCCACTTTTCACTATTTATGTTATGGATCCCACGTAATAGGGGGTGAGCTTATTGCCATATACCGGGTACAATTCCAGACTCCGTCCGACTACTGAGATTACTTTAAAAAAACCCAGTAACACATTGCCCGACCCTGATATTGAACCCGAAACCCTTTGCCCGACAGTCGGACTTGCGACCACTCGGTCAGCGTTTCATAATTATAATAATATCATAAAATATTATGGTGAACCGTAAACCCAGTGGTATATTTATATTTGCTAGAATTTAAGTACTTATCTGTACTTAAATTCTAGCAAATATATTAGGAGGGAAGGAAAGAGTGGAAGTAGAGACTTTTTGGAGTGAATGGACAAAGGCTCTACGCCAAAAGGAAGGAAATGTTCCGAAACAAAGGGAGAAATTTATGACATGGCTAATTTATAGCTGGTACGATTTGATAAATCAGTGACGATTGTCACTTTGATATGTCAGTGACGATCGTACCAGCTAGGATAGGACTGATGTTGCGTTTTAACACCCACTTTTCACTATTTATGTTATGGATCCCACGTAATAGGGGGTGAGCTTATTGCCATATACCGGGTACAATTCCAGACTCCGTCCGACTACTGAGATTACTTTAAAAAAACCCAGTAACACATTGCCCGACCCTGATATTGAACCCGAAACCCTTTGCCCGACAGTCGGACTTGCGACCACTCGGTCAGCGTTTCATAATTATAATAATATCATAAAATATTATGGTGAACCGTAAACCCAGTGGTATATTTATATTTGCTAGAATTTAAGTACTTATCTGTACTTAAATTCTAGCAAATATAAATAAGTTGTATTCTTAAGTTTTAAATTACATCGTGAGATTTCTCAGCTGAAAATGACACTATTAATTACTAATTTTCGAAATTAGGTAAAGAAAAGAGTGTAAAAATTAATACTTTTAACAAAAAGTAATTAATATGCTTTAAGGATATATGAAAATATGTCAACACCAACTTTCGCAAAAATATGAATAAAAAAGATGAGACCATCTGTATCTTAAAGAAATAAGAATAAGGTAGAGTTACTTAAGGTTTCAAAACTAAATACTCCGTACGAATTATTGCATCATTAACTAACAATTTATTATAGTAAGACAAGAGATTTAAAGATACGCGAGATTCTATAAAGAACGATTAAACTGTCAAACACCAAGCGGTCACCGGTGACCGCAACCTATTGTTCTTTAATTGTGTCTATAATGACGGTACTCAACGAGTTAACTCATGATTCCAATGCTCTGGTGCAGTCATTAATGGTTAATCATAATAAAGCACGATGA